GCTACCAAACCAGAGAGGGATGAATTTCGATGATGCCTGGGTTGACGAAGTCCGACATGGGCTGTTGGCTTGCAAAGTCTTCTTGTGGTATCCTCTCTTCTGTAAGTTTGACATCATCTCAATTCCGGAGATCTTTTAAACTAATCCTGTTTTTAGGGCTCGCGTACAACCAGATGACAAACAACTTGACCTCTCAGGCTGCCACCATGACTTTGAATGGTGTCCCTAATGATGTCGTTAACAACCTGAATCCCTTCGCGCTCATCATTTGTATCCCCCTCATGGACAAATTCGTCTACCCAACCTGCCGCAAGCTGAACTTGAAATTCACCCCAGTCAAACGCATTACGGCCGGTTTCTTCGTCGCTTCCAGTGGTATGATTGCTGCCACTGTGACCCAATATTACATTTACAAACTGGGTCCTTGCGGTTATTATGCGAATGATTGCGCAGACAAGAGTATCCCAGCTCCCATCAGCGTCTGGGTTCAAGCCATTCCCTACGTCTTCGGTGGTATCTCCGAAATTTTTGCCTCTGTTACCTCCCTTGAATACGCTTTTACGAAAGCTCCAACAAACATGAGATCCATGGTTCAAGCCATCGCCCTTTTCATGAACGCCCTCTCCTCTGCTTTGGGCCAAGCCCTCGTCTCCCTTGCGGAAGATCCCCTTCTGATCTGGAACTACGGTGTTACAGCATGCCTCACATTCTGCGGCGGAGTTGGTTTCTGGTTTACCAACCGCCAGACCGATAAGGAGGAGGACGCCCTTAACACTCTGCCGAATTCGCACTTTAACGGCAACAACCCCGATGATCTTGAGAAGTCGGTTTAACGCACAAGTGAAGATTCGTGGTTATTGCGCCCGAGTCTTTTTTTTTGATGTTCCAAACTACCTCTTTCTCCACTCTTGTGGAAAAGGTACCTGCTTAATCTTCTAGCTTCAGTGTTAATTGAGATACCTGCTATGTATATAGCCATTCGAATAATGACGATTGTCAATGAATTACTATCCCAAGCTCCACATAGTAGTGTTTCTGAAGGCAGGGAGGGTTACTTGCCGACGCCTTCTTGGCTCGAAACGTGCGATTCCCCATCTACCATTTTTATTATCTCCCATTGACAAGGGATATGACCCGGATGCAACCCTACCCCAGTCTTAAACGACTGTAGACTTCGACCAGCCGGGATCTGACCAGAAACACTCCCTTGGGTATCATAAACCTTACCTCCACATTTGTCCGCGTTTCTTTCGCGTGTGGTTGGGGCATCACCCCAGAAACAAATTACATAATCCCAGTACTCCGTATGCCCTCCTCTTTTCACAAAAACTATTATTATGCCAGTAAACCATGTGGCTGGAACCCGAAATATTCCAAATTGGGGGTGTTATGGGTAACCCATGTACTCCAACTTCCAAGTAGGGTGCTCCGTACACGGGTCACGACATATGGGGGACCTTGTTACATAACAGCCCGCATGATCGGTAGGTTCTACCGCATCTTTTCAACAGTTGTGTCTACGGGGCTTAACCTCTAACACGACCCGTTCTCCGCATGACATCTTGCCTGCTCGAAGTCGGTCGTTGAAGGTTCCTGTTGTCGAGGTCAAATTAAAGGCGAGGGAAACCACCCGAGCTAAAATAACCTTAACTTAGTGCTTATGTAATGGATAGCTAAACACGTATGTAATCTTTGAAAACCTCGTATTCGAAATACCGGTATTATTGAACCCTGGGGTAACAAACCTCCAAGTCTGCTCCCGAACCAAGACTCTTGGGCTGAGAACAGCCATGCAAATACTGACGAGGCATCACGGAGTACGACGCTGAAAAGAGAGCAGACTTGGCCCCAAACGGCTCCTCAGGGTCGAAGAACCCCCCCCGATACCGTCAACAGCCGTGAAACCCTTTGCAGAACTGATCTTCGCTCTATCACCCGGTCGCAGCGCTTCGATTTTGAAAAGCCGGTATTGATGTTCGCCCCCAAATCGACCAGCTTTGAATGAGGATGTCAAAACGGCTTTGCTGATGAATGCTGTCGCGTTCCATTTCATGTGTCTGTTGCTCGTTCGCGAAGAACCAGGCCTTCCCGAAGCGGCCTGAGCTTAGCTGCAGATGGAGAGACAAACATTGATACCGCGTCCTCTACGGAGTACTCCGTATTAGCAAGGCCAGTTGTGACGACCCGTGTTACTCCGTCCGTGCGATCGTGTAGAACGGCCGCTGAACGTCTCATCACATGGGCCAGGCTTTATGACTTTCTGTGCCACCACTCTAGAATTCTAAGTATTTGAGCGTTAAATCTAACAATACGAACGTGTCTATCATCATGTCAACATATCGAAAAAAAAAAAATAACAAAAACAGATTGGGAAAAAAAGAACGTCGATACCAGGACAAGGGACGCAAGAAGCGATAAACTATGCCTCCCGTTGACTCTGACCAAATATCCAAAACACCATGCTATTTCTAGCTACCCGCCTAACTTCCCATAAATATCGGAACCTGCACATAGAAATATAGTGAACCGTATGCATATGTTATAAAATGAGGTTGCCAAAACGTCTATGTCCGTGGAGGTGGCGGCGGAATCCAGGACCCGTCACTGTTCCAAACGCCAACGCCTCCATACTTTCCAGCAGTTGATCCCCGTATAAAGGCAAATCGGAAGAAGAGATCCTCTGGAGCTTCATCTTCATGTCCGTCTGAGATATCGAGGCTCTGATGGCCATGCCGGTGCCAGATGAAATCCCCCTGTTTGTCTTCATCCAAGTAGCCACGCCACCTTTCGACGTCGTTGACCAGGACACTGACACCATCGACTTTCAACGTGGCCATACGGTCCGGTTCCCAAAGGTGGAACGTGATATTTCCATTGCCACGATACTCCGGCGGCGCTGGTAGAGAGATCGAAACAGATGAGTTGGTAATATTCGGGCTTGTCGCACCCCACCATCCGTTTTCTCCGCCAGGGCTGGGAAGCTCTCCCAAAGCACTGGGAGTCTGGATGATCGACGCAAATCCCCATCTTGCGACTCCATTGATGAAAAGCCCAAGGAGCAGGCCTTGGAATATTAAAGACGGGCGGGTCGGGAAACCAGTTCCTGGCATGAGCAAGATGCCCAAGATGTAGTGATGAATTCGAAGGCGGAAGCCGGGCAATACCAGCAGGATAAGAACGGCGGTGCCTATGGTGGCGTATATCTTAAGATAGCGAAAGAAAAGGCCGCCCATACGGATGTACCACACTTGACACAGTACTATCAGAATAACAATAGTAAGCACGATGACGAGTGCCAGTGGAGCGCCTGGCTGATTCTTGAGGTCGTGCGGAGTGAGGCGTTGGATCGGTATCCAAACAGCAAATGTGTAGTTGTTTAAGGCTCCAATAAAGGCGGGCGCTAGATAAAGGACTGTCCTACTCAGCTGGTAGACAGGAGGCGACGCAAGCGGTTGTAGAAGCGGCAGTGCACAGTATAGATAGAGAACATATGCCACAAAGCCGGCTGGAAGAAGGCGGCTGAAGAGAAGCGAAAGCAACTCGCGGACTTGAGAAACACTGGGCGGATCAGACACTAGCCCAACGTGTAACATGAGCATAAAGAAAGTACTGAAAAAGAACACAGCAGGTGAAGTTGTGAAGATTGAAATCAACACGATAGCAGTCGCGGTTATGGCAAATAAAGGCCATCTTGAGTCCTGCGGGCAATCCGATTGAGATCCAGAGAGTCGCAAGAAACGGAAGGATTTCGGAAACGTCGAAGGAAACGATATTGACGTGAATCCGTGGGCTGAACTCGACGGGTAAGAATTTGAAGCTCCAGTCAGTTCTACGACACCGCATCCACCGGAATCCGATATGACACCAGCGTGAAGTGCAGCTTGGCAAACAAAGCTGTCTGCTCGATAGACACCATCTGAGGAGCCAGGCTTCGGGCCTCCAACAATAAGAGGCTGGTAGTTGAGCGTCTGATTCCCGACGGTATGAGGATTCAGCAAGATTAGGCTGCTGCAGAATGCAGGGCACCGGAACGCGAAAGTGGAGGCATTGAATGGGCGGCAGTCATAGCCGTTCAGGCCGCATTGGTTGCCGTTTGACCTGTGCAGAAACCAGCCTGTTAGTGAGGTCGAATCTTGGGTAAGACGGTACGGCTGTAACCAAGAGGGAGGCACTTACCAGTATGTCGCACTACAAGATATCGGCTGTGGTCGACCATAGCCCTCGATATGCCCAGCGGAAACTGAATGCCTTAGAACCAGAGACCAGGATAAAAACCAAGTGAAATATGTAAAGAGCAGCAATGCGATCTTGTGCTTTCTCTTGGGAACGAAGCGGTTCAACAGCCGAACCGGTGCCTCTTGAATTCGCGGCCCGATAGGGTTAAAGCGCAGGTCCTTTGGAGGTTGCGGTCCTTTCAGCCACTTGACGGTGGATCTGCCTGCTTTTCTCAAGGGAAGCGGAACCCAGCCCCATTTGAAGGCCTTGGAGGATTCGGTCAGCCAGACGGGAATGGGCAAGGACGGGGTGGGATCGTCCTGGGAGTGGATATTGAACCGGGACTCAGACGCCGCGGATTCGTAGTCGAGGGTGTCGTTGGTATGGGGCTGGATCGCAGTGCGTCCTGACATGGCCTCTTCTTCATCGCGGCCATCGTGAGCCATCTTCGCGGATCCTAGCAAAAGCAGAGAAGGTCAGCCTCCTGGAAGAAGATGATGTATCTGATGCCAAAACAAACCAGATGGCGTCGCTTAGTCGACGATGGCGTAACAGACAACAAAGGTACTTTTGCTCGAGTAATCGACTCACGCAGAGAGGTATTTCTAGGCGTTGATAACAGCCGCCCGGCTGCTCCGGAAGGCTAGTCGGCACAGGCTGCAACAAGGTGGGAGGGTGTTGGGCAGAACCTCGTCGACCGATACCCAGCTCGGTGCCTAGCAGTTCACCAACGGAGTGAAAGAGTCCCTTGTCTGAGGGCCTCGAGTCTCATAACGAGGATTCGAGCAGTTGGAGCGCAAGAAGTTGGGAAGTCAAACACACTCTGCGTGCGGGAGATCCATGGTTGCGACAGCCAAGACGTGCTTATCGACAATCAACGATGACATCGCCGGCTCCAGGGCGAACTAGCGAGCTAACCCGTGAATTCACGAACTAGCAAGCCGAGTCACTGACTAGTCGGAGCTCTATCTTGACGACAAAGCCGTACGATCGTCTGTGATCGTGTGCTGGTCGTCTCTGCCGGATTCCCCAGGAGATGCCATCGCCGTGACTTCATCCAGGCACATCGCGTTACTTTGTGTGTCCGCTGCGACCCAAGGCTCCGAGTGAAGGCTAATTGCGGTCAGCAGGATAACCCTTGATTCGGAGCAGATGTCAGGCGGCGTTGCGCGAGCTAGGCCTATGATGGCGCCTATGCCCACGGAACCACCGCTGCCCGGCAGCCACGACAGCGATGATCTGAACCGTCGTCGCACAGCAGAGCCCATGCTGCGTCCTCCCCATGATTTCTCCCGGTACTATTCCTGTGCCACCAGGAGGAGAGTCGCGAGCAGCGTTAAGGACTTCTACAAATACTTTGCTATCCCGGGCATCCACAATCTAGCCGGAGGTGAATGGACAATGTATATGATGGCGTTCCGTAACTAAGTGAAGCTCAGGTCTTCCGCACGTTTCATATTTCCCCTTCGACTCTCTGGAAGCGACTGTTGCACTTCCGAATCGAATACCCAAAGATGGATTTGTCCCCCAACCTCAACCAACTGCTTCCCCGGCAAGCCCTCCGGCCTCGCAGAGAGTGGTGGTCCCAAAGGAAAGTAGCGTCGATGACGGGCTCAGGAGAATAGATTTGGCAACAGCCTTGCAGTACGGCGCGGTCGACGGGTATCCACCCTTACGCTCCTTCATTCGCCAATTTGTTCGAGAGAATCTGCACCCTCATGTGCCCTATGAAGGAGGACCAGAGGTGATTCTGACGTGCGGGGCGACTGATGGGTTCTCGAAGACCATTGAGGCTTTTACAAATGTTTGGGATGAAAACCGGGATTGGATCCGGGAGCGGCAAGGATTGTTATGCGAGGAATTTGCCTACATGACCGCTATTCAAACCGCACGGCCTCGTGGCCTCAATATCGTTCCCGTAGCGGTGGATTCTCAAGGTATGAAGGTGGAAGGAGAACGCGGACTGGCTGATGTGCTCGACAACTGGGACTTTAGTCGGGGTCAACGACCGCATTTGATGTATACGGTGACGTTCGTATTCCATTGACGTAATCTAGTTTTAAGCCCAGCTAACAATGCCGGATCAGGATCGGTCAAAATCCCACTGGAGCAGTTCTTCCTTTAGAAAGGCGCCGGCAAATTTACAAGTTATGCCAAAGGTACGATATCATAATCATCGAAGATGACCCTTATTGGCACTTGCAATACCCATCCGCGAAACAGAACGCCCTTAGACAAGGCCAATCCGACTCCAGCCCGCATACCCCTTTTAGCGTTCACGACGAGCCATCCGGTTTCCCATTTCTGGATTCGTTGGTCAAATCGTATCTTTCCATAGACACGGCCGGCCGCGTTGTCCGCCTGGACACCTTTTCAAAGATCATCGCTCCTGGGTGCCGTCTAGGCTGGCTTACTGCACAGCCTGACATCGTAGAGCGGATTTTACGCATCAGCGAAACTTCAACCCAACAACCCTCAGGCTTTGTTCAATCAATGGTTGCCAAACTCATCATGGGCGACCAAGCGGACGATATGGTCAAGAAGCCCTGCACCGAAGGATCTCCCGGATGGCGTGTCGACGGCTGGGTCCGTTGGCTAGAAGGCTTGCGTGGAGGATATGAAAAGCGGATGCAAACCATGTGTACAATTCTTGAGGAGGGTCGATTTTCTATCGTGCAAGGGGACGCGCTATCGAACGATTCTAATCTGGATGAATGGCAAGTAGTTGATAACGTCCAGATGTTTGACTTCGACTGGCCCGGTGCAGGCATGTTTGTCTGGGTTAAATTTTGCTTGGAGACGCACCCGCTCTGGTCTCAGGTGCCAGCTGCAAAACTCGCAAATGCGCTATGGAAGTACTTGATCAACGCGCCATATCGAGTCATTGTTGGCCCAGGCTGGCTGTTTGCGCCAACAGAAGATGTGAAAAAGTATGCTTGGAGGTATATGCGCCTCTGCTTTGCTCCTGTGGATGAGGGTGCTGTTGCTACGAGCAGTCACAATTTTATTGAGGGCTGTCGGAGTTTTTGGCAGGTAAAAGATATCCATGACATTGATGACCTTGAGGATGATAACGAGGAATGATTTGGTAATATCACCGCGGAGGTATGTTGGTTATATATGTGTATATATTTGATACGAGTACATACTGTGTGAGCTTGAATATTTGTACAGCTGCTGAATCTCACTGTGATCGCATTGATGCTCGCTCTTCCGATTGCCTTCCGCCAAACCAAGTCCATCTTTCATCTCAACCCTTTGACAATCGCCGATGCCGAAAATTGAAGCAAATTACGCCCCTTTCCTTCTCTCTAATTCTATCTAGCAGCGCATTCTTTTACTTAACCAGAACTTCCACGGTCGCAAATCAACCACACCCGTAACCCCGCCCGACCATGTCCTCCGCGCCGATTCCCAACCCAGACCTTGCGGAAGAAATCGATGCTATCAGCGCAATCTACGATCCTTCTACCCTCGTGATATGCCCAGATTCCACCTCAAACTCGCCGGTGCTCGAAGAAGCCACTACGACAACAGTGACCCTCCGCGTCCCCGAACACACTCAAATAGCATTCCTTCTCCGCTTCGACGACAAGTATCCCGAGACCGCGCCGCAAGTTACTGGGACAGCATCGACGGGATCGCGCGGCGAGGGGAAGAAATGGGTGGATATGCTGTCTGACGCGGTGGCGCGGGTGTGGACGCCCGGGTCGGTGTGTTTGTATGATCTGATTGTGGAAGCGGGGGAGATGTTTGACGAAGCAAAAGCTGCGGAACAAGAAGCGGAGAAAGATGAGGGGGCCTCTGATTACACTGAGCAGCTAGCGAATCTGGATATAAACGCATCGAGCAGTCAGGCTATTCTCTCATCAATGGGTCTTGATGAACCGCCATCATGGATCATGTCGGATCCGTTTTCGGAGAAGAGATCTGTCTTTATAGCTCGAGCAGCGCACGTTCAGTCCAAGGAGCAAGCTGAGAAGTACCTGGATTACCTACTCGCGACAGAGAAGAAAGTCGCGGCTGCCACGCATAACATTACGGCGTGGCGCATCCGGCAGAAGAAGGCCGACGGATCTACCGCTGTTGTCCAGGATTTCGATGATGATGGCGAAACAGCGGCTGGAGGGAGAATGCTTCATCTCATGCAGCTGATGG